TCAGGATGGAGTGAAGGTGTGCGTGCAATATACCGGCGGGCCAGATCTAATAGTAATTAGAAATTATCCTGCGGGCCGAAATTAAATCCACCAAAGGCCTGATTGGCCCCCGGGCCTTGAGTTTGACACATGTGCTGTATAGGTGTGTCATATAGGTTTGCGTGCATGTAAATGGTCTGCAAAGGCTCAAATCTCAAAGTTACACTCCCCCCCTGCCTGAAATGCTTCCATTGAACTAATTTGTTTACCTCTGTAACATAATGACATCACCATGTAACATTCACTTTTATTGGCATTGTAGGTGATAGGCTAAGGGACGGGACATCTCTAAGCGGTTGACCAATCACAACAGAGCCGGCCAGCTAACCAATCAGAGCAGACTGGGCTCTGGTTTCAGACAGAGGGTGAAAAGAGGTGCTGCAGCATGAGAACAATAAAGACCTTTTTGAACATTAAAGCATGGAGACATGTCACAGTCGAAGCATAAAATACAAATATGAACCTGAAATGAGCAGAATAGGGATCCTTTAAATCTGACTAGGCAGGGTTGAAATATTTTTAAAAGCACACATTTTAGACAAACCATGTAATTATGACCCATGTGATGTGTGCCAAAAAGAATAATGTTTAATTATTATTTAGATGTTGCCCCCTTTGAAAAGTAATAAGCCTGAGAATGAGTCCCCTCTCGAGGAACCTCAGTGAAACCTGAGAGCAGTCCATGGCTTCAGGCCAAGTGAACTACAGTCACCGTTCCACGTAAAACAAAATCCATGATTTATTGATCCCTGCTGAAAGATGCATGCACACGAGGGGACACTGTGGCCTACAGCAGAGCAATGATAGAGCATAATGTATCAGCACAAGAATTTAATGTACACATTGTTCTACAATCTTTAGTAATGCCCAATATCCCAAAATCAAAATCAATCAATATATATATGCCATTAATAACTGTGTAATTTATACCTGGCTGCTAAACCCTTGTTACTGTTACAAGGTATCTATCTTGTATTTTGTAGATTGTGTAACCTGCTGCTAAATACCGTCAAACTATGTGCAATATGTGCTTTATGTGCAATATATACTTTATATGCATCTTTAATAACTGTAATATATACCGGGCTGCAAATCCTAAGAACTGCTACAGGATTTGATTTGTAGATTTGATTTGTTTTTGATCTGTAT